TCTTTCCCTCTCTCTGGTGGTCACATGCACCCGATGGCAAAAACAGGAATAAAGACCTGCTCCATGAACGACCAGCCCTGAGGACAGCCAGACTTTGGAATCCAGCCTCCAGAGTGCGAGAGCAGACCCCGCTGTCCTAAGGCACGTGGTCTCCGGCGGTCCTTTCCACCCTAAGGACCACGTGGAGAGGCAACTAGGGAGCCTCTGGCTGGGTCTGGAGCCCAGGAGGGTTTCCAGTGATGGGGCGGGCAGCTCAGCTGAAGAGGCAGCAGAGAGGGCGGACGAGCAGAGGCCGAGAGACCTGCCCCTGTGAGCTGGAGACTCTCCAGGTGCTCCTGGCCACTGGCTCACACTGAGGCTGGAAGACACCTCTCCGTGGAGATCCCCGGCAGGCAGCTGGGGCTGGGTCAGGGCCTGGGGGTGCAGACATGCAGAGGAAGCAGAAGCAGAAACGGCATCCATGGGGAAAACAGGGAAGGGGGAGGAGGGCAAAGGGGGCGCGGGGACAACACGCCCGCAGCAGCTTTGGGGAACAGCTCAGGAGGCGCAGCCGGAAGCTGGGACCCGGGAGGGTAAGGCTCAGGGGCAGGGAGGCCTGTCGCCCGACGCACAGACACGGAGGACCCAGGAGCCTCGTAAGACATGTGGGACACTGTGACCCCGGAACCCAGGACAGTGCAGCAGGGACAGGTGAGAACAGCTGGAGAGGGCCAGACGGTGGCTGGACGTGGTGCTCTCGGAGGCTGACCCACACAGGAAAGTTGCGAGTTCAAGCCCAGAGACCTCCGAGTGTGCTCAACACACGTGCCTGTCATCTGGGCTGGCTGGGGGCCGTGGCTTGGAACCCTATTTGGGTTTTCCTTTTCCATCTCACTCAAAACGATTCAATGAATAAACTTACATACACCTGAAGCAAGTCGGGAGGGCATGGCTAAGGGGGAGAACTCCTGAGGGAGCTGACTCTGCGGCCCGGCTAAGGCCTTAAGGTGCCGGTTCCCACATGGCCGACCACACAGTTCGAGTGCTGGACCTAGTGGCTGGAGAAAAACTCCAGGCATGTGTGCGTGCGTGGGGAAACCCCGAGACGAGAATGGAGAAGGGACTGTGGCATGGCCATGCCTCAAAGCGAGTGCCTCACTCCCCCTCTCTGCCTCTCTCCGACAAGCACATGCACCCTCTAGCAAAACTGAAAAGAAAAATGTGTCCGAAGTATGACGTAAACTGGATGGCTGAGCAGCTGTCGGAAGGCCCGCCTGGTATTGCTGGTGGCATGAACGGCACCGCATCGGTGCGGGCTTGGCCTGGTGCTGCAGACACAGGTACCTCAGAGGGACCAGCCCACAGTGTGGGGGGTGAGTGCTCGTGTGGGTGGCTGGACCCCAGCCCTGGTGGCTTGAAAAGATATGCCGGGCTGTGAGGTGGCCGAATCCCGACAGGACAGAGGGAGGGACTGGGATAGTCGTCCCCACGGAGAGGTGTACACTCTCACGGGAGTGCTTCTGCTCTCTGCAATAAAGAAAACACTGCTGAGGACGACGTGGGGGCCAGCAGGGGGCTCGGTGGTCCAGGTGCTGGACTCACACTTGGCCGACCACATTTTGAGTCCTGGACCAAATGGTTTGAACATACCGGGCATGTGTGCGTGTGCCCCAAGTCCTGGGAGAAGGGACTGTGGTGTGGGCATGCCCACAAGCAGTGGCATCTCACTTTCTCTGTCTTACGCACGTGCCCTAAACTTGGGAACATATTTGCAATCTTAACTGCAGACAGACACAGTGGACAACGAGAGCACTCCTTCTTCTCAACGTCTTCTGCCTCATGTGGTAACTTAATTTGTTTTGAGAGATTTTTGCTATAGCGTGTGTGTGCTTGCCGGAGACAGACAGCGAGAAATCACCTCCTGAGGGAATGGCCACGCCACAATCCCTTCTCCTCCAGTCTCGTCTCAGGATTTTGGGCATGCATGCACAAGCACCCAGTGTGTTTTAAGCCGCCAGGCCCAGGACTCCAACTGTGGTTGACTACATGGGAGCCCAGCAACATAACCATTATGTCATCTGCTGGTCCGTTCTCATGGTGACATTCTGAGGGACAACTGAGAAGGCCACCTGGCCAGACTGTGCCCTTCAGGAGCGGTGGCCCTTATGTACGTGTGGCCAGGGCCCTGGTGGCCTGCCCAGCCCTGCTGTCCCAATGCTGGGCACCCATGCAGCCCCCAGGTCATGCCCTCCCTGCCACTCACCTCCATGTGCCCAAACGTCTGCACCAAGGGGACGGCCTCCAACCCATGCAGCCTGGCCAAGTGCAGGATTGTGCTGATGTCGGAGGGGCTGGAGAGACAAGAACCGCGGATGGTCAGTGTGGCGTCTGACACTCTCCCAGCCCTTCCTCCTCTGGCCCAGGGCTTGCCTGGAAGCTTCCAGGTTAGGACAATGCTGTGACCCCTTGACGGACAGCTGCTTCCCCAGCTATGCCCTGGACTCGGCAGGGGCAACACCGGGCACAAGGACCGGGCCACAGAGAGGCCCGCAGCTGGCCTGCAGCCCTGGACCTAGGAACGGCCCCTTCTGGCCCACGTTCTGTCACAGGAGGGCCACGTCCGGGCAGTGACTGACCCCCATGTAGACTTTCTCATTTTCATGAGCTTCACTGAATCACCATTTGTAAGAAAAACCTTTCTAGTTGAGTTTCGCCCATCTCTAAGCTAATCAGTGCGATGTGCTTATTTATTATAGAACGCAGGCTCCAGGAGTTTGTTTCGCTTTGAAAGACAAAGCAAGCTCTTCGTAGGAAAGGCCCAGGAGAGTGTGAAGAAAACACAAAACTCTCATGACCCCGCCACGGTATGGGTGTGGCTTTGCACCTCTGCCCACACGAGGCCGTGGGGGGCAGACACTCCGGGGCTGGGACCGTCCTCCAGAATGGCACCCCCTTCATTCTCGCCGGGAAGAGCCCACAGTCTCGTCCTCAGAGCACTGTGATTTATTAAAAAGCCTTGCTGACTTGGTGGCCGGAGTGAGATTTCCTGTTGTCTCAGGGTTGACTCTTGTGAGAGGTTTAGCATTTTCTCACATGCTCACTGGCCATTGGTCTTGGTTTGTTTTTTTTGAGATTTTTGCCATAAGGTGTTTGTGTTTGCCAGTGAGACAGAGACAGAAAGTGAGACATCACCCCCAGGAGGGATGGTCATGCCACAACCTCTTCTCCCTTATTATATTCTTGGGATTTGGGGCATGCACACACACACGCCTGGCATGAGTTTTAAGCCACCAGGACCAGGACTCAAACTGTGGTTGACGATGTGGGAGTCCAACAACGTAATCATTATGCTATCTGCTGGTCCCTCTTTCTTTCCTTTTTTAAGAGAGATTTTTGCTATAGGCACATGCACTGGCCAGAGAGACAGAAAGTGAGAAATCACCCCCCATGCCACAATCTTTTCTCCTCTTGGGATTTTGGGCACGTGCGCCCAGCATGAGTTTTTTGTTTGTCTCTGTTTTGTTTTGAGAGGTTTTCGCTATAGAGTACATACACTTGTTGGAGAGACGGAAAGTGAGAAATCACCCCCCTCCCCCATGGCCACACCGCAACCTCTTCTCCTCCATTTTCCTCTTGGGATTTTGGGTGCACGTGTGCCCTGCGTAAATTTCAAGCCTCCAGGTCTAAGACGAGAACCGCAGTCAGCCACGTAGGAGCCCAATGCCTTGAGCACCACGCCACCAGCTGGCCCCGAGTGTTTTATTTTAGAATGTGTTTTAATTGTATAATTAACTTCTGGAATGGAAGACCTGTATTGGAATAGCTCCCCACAGCCTTCCTCTAGGCTCCTTGCAGGGGGGAGGGGAGAGGGGTCGTCCCTGTATGTGTGGGGCCCTGGGGGGTTGTCCCTGTACATGCGGGGCCCTGGGGGGTCGTACCTGTGTGTGCGGGGCCCTGGGGGGCCGAACCTGTACACGTGCAGGGGTCTGGGGGTCGTACCTGTACGCGTGTGGGGCCCTCAGTGGCCGCAGGTGGCCCTCGTATGGGAACATGTCTTCGTACTCGATAAGGAGGCCATTTGCGCCCAGAGCGTGGAACAGAGGAAACGCCTGGGGGGAGATGGGTGTCAGTCGGCCCTGCTGAGCCACCATCCTCGGACAATCAGCCGCAAACCTGGCCATCTAGCCCAGACGGGACAGACGGGGACTGTGCCTTGTCGCCCGCTGGTGACCTGCATCTGCGTGTCCCCTCGTTCCCTCATCTGCACTTCACCTTATGCTGATGGTTCTCCCGACAGAGGCGGCTTCTGCTGTGGGGGGAGTCGCTGTAACAGGGCCCCCCCACAGCAGTCAGCCTGGCAGCCTTGTGGGTGGGACTCAGGCCAGCGGGCACAGAGGCCGACTGCTCTGGATCAGCATGGAGCAGCTCCTGAGGCAGAGACTCGCAGACGGGTCAGGCCAGGAGTCGGCCTGGGGCCCTGGGGTCAGGTGGGTGACTGGGGCAGGGCAGGCGAGTGGGTGTGGTCTGGCGGCTGAAGAAGGGCAACCTTGTGTTCCCCCCATTGCTCCTGCCACCTCCTCCACCTTGCATTTTTTAAGGGTTTTGTCATAGGGCTTGGGCACACGCCAGAGAGAGGGAAAGTGAGAAGTCACCCCCAGGGGGGATGGCCACACGACAGCCCCTTCTTCAGTCCCCTCTCAGGGTTCTGGGTGGGCTGCACGCATGTGTCCAGTGTGCTGTTCAAGCCACTGGGTCTGACACTCAAGCTGCAGCTGACCATGTGGGGCCTGTGTCCTCACCGCCACGCCACTCGCCTTAAGGGCATGACTCCCGTCCTCCAGGGTCTCTAGACCAGCTCACACCTGCTGTGCCCGACAGCGAGACTTTCCTCTAGGCTGGCAGCAAGGCCAGGGAGGAAGGAGCCCGGCAGCTGCCGGCAGCCCCATTCCAGGCCGTCTCGTCATTGAGCCACGGCCCCTGGGTGTTCGTGCGGTCCTTGCTCTGTGCGTGTCTACAGTTCCCTCTTCTCAAAGGGACACAGGCACTCACGGTCGCCTGGCATGACTTCAGCCCGTCTCGGTCACAGCCGAGGCCCTGTTCACAGGTACTGGGGCCCAGCCTTGGACACCTCATTTGGGAAAACAATTCAGCCACGGTGAATGGGTTGTAGGTGTTGTTGGTCTCTTCTTCCTCCCTTTCTTCTGTGAAGGAACGTGGGGTGGCGAGTGGCGCAGCAGTGATGCGCTGCTCAGGAGAGGCCATGCCACATGGCTGCTGTGGTTCAAGCCCCCAGCCCAGCCAGCCGAAAGCAAATCCTCTAGGTGTGGGCGTGCTGAGAGCTGACGGCTGGGAGGGCTGGAGGCCGCCCGCGAGGGCGCCCCCTCCCTTGTGCGCGTCCACGTGCTTGGTCACCAACGCAGGGGAAGGGATCCCCGCTGCTGCCACCGTCTTGCCCCACCGACGACCTCAGGCTGTGTTTGAGCACCCCTGTCTACAGATGCTCCAGAAAGAGCCCGTGCAAAAGGGTCCTCTGGGAGTGGAGCGCTTACCTCTGCAAGGTAGGAGACCTTTGGGGGGGCTCCTTTGAGGTCCAAGTGGACGAATCTCATCTTAAATGGTGTGGGCCCCGACATTCTGTTACCTTCTGTGAGCCCCAGGACAAAGTTCCGCCTGGGCACTTCCTGGTGGGGGGCCAGAGTGTAAGCGGGCAGGGCTGCTCCTCAAGGCCTTCTCGCACTTCCTGTTCCGGTTCTACTGTAGGGACGAGGAGGAGCCTCATCTCACTAACGTGAAATGGTCCAAGAATTCCACTCCTTGTTCAGATACACCTCTGCCCTGTACTGGTGGCTGCTCCTGCATTAGAGGAGCACCGGTCTCCTTGCGTGCTCCTGCGACAGCGCGGCTACAGAATAACCCTCTGTTTTTTTTAGGTTAATTTTTCTCCAGGAGAGAAAGACCCAGAGAGAGCCTCATAATGGCCTCACGCCATGCTCTCCCCACCAGGCCTTCCCAGCCACGGTCGCGGACATGGACAAGTCCAGGGCATACGGCCGGCCAGGAACTGAACTCTGATCTCCCAAGTGGCTCCCGGCACCGCGCCCTTTGGCTGGCCCATGTTTAGATGTACTACATGGGGCCAGCCAGTGGCATAGTGGTTACGGTACTGGACTTCCACACGGCTGATTACAGTTCAAACCCTGGACCTGATGGACTGAAATCACACAAGGTGCATGTTGCACAAGCGCCCAAAGTCCCAGGAGAAGGGGTTGTGGAGTGACCTAGCCTCGCAGTGGCCCGGCTCAGTGGCACGTCAGTGGAGGGATGCACCCTGGAGGGTGATTTCTCACTTCCCTCTCTCTCCAGTAAGCACACACAGGTCCTATGGCAAAAACCTTTAAAAAAAAAATAAAGATGCACTACCCTGATGAAAATAGTCAGGTAGATGTCTCCAAGTGTCTTTACTAGGCCCCATGTGATGTTTCTGTAGGAAATGTATCTTCAATTCAATTTTGAATACTATTAAAATTAATTTGCATTTCGGGGCTAGCAGGTGGCATGGTGGTTAAGGTGCTAGACTCCCACATGGCTGACTGTGGTTAGAGTCCTGGACCTGGTGGTTTGCTTTCTTCTTTTCCTTCTCTCTCTTTTTCTCTTTCTGGTGAGCACATGTACCCTATAGCAAAACAAAATTAATTTGTATTTCTAACACTCAGGTTGGCTTGGTTGTGGGGAAGAAGAAAACTGCAATTTTTTTCTTTTTTGGAGGCGTGTTTCGTTTAGGGTGCCTTCTCCTCCATTCTCCTCTCAGGATCTTGGGCACGCACGCACACGTGCACAGCATGAGTTTAAGCCACTGGGTTCGGGACTTGACCCGCAGTCGACTACATGGGAGTTCAGCAATAGCCGTTACGTCAACTGCTGGCCCCCAAACTGCAAAATTCACAGTAGGTCAGAGAAAACTGTCTAAGATTTAAAATAAACAAGTGAAAAAGGAATGAGCCCCCAACACATGGCTGACTGCGGTTTCTGTTAAAATTTAAAAAATATCTGGGTGACGAAGCAGCTGAAGAGTGGCATCTTCTCTCTCGTTTATCCTAAGAGCACTGAGGGTTAGATGGGAAAGGGAGAGACATTGTCGTCTGTGTGTCACAGATTCGGTCCAACAATTGAGCCTAGTCTGTTCAGGGACGTGGAAATCCCTGCCCTGACCCTAGCACAGCAGGGGAGCTAAAGCGCAGGTCCCCATAACACTAAGAGAAGTTACAAACAACGCTCAGTGACAAAACCCCAGGGCAGTTACCCACTACCACCTGTGGGAGAGGTGGGTTTTGTGAAAAAGCATCTTGAGAAAGTGAGATGCTTTTAAAGCTGAATTGTTTGAAAATCTTACAAACCAAATCTATTTTCCAGGAATTCGACTTAAGAGGAAAAATTTAGAGGGTGAGCGATCTGCCTGGACAAGCTCCTTCCTCCGCTGCGTCCTCATTGGCGCTGGTCACCCACCCTTGGGCAGCTCACCTGGAGGGCGCTCACCGCGAGCGGCTCACCTGCTGGACGCTCACCTGCGGGGCGCTCACCTGCAGCAGATGCCCCGGTGCTCAAGCGACGTCCACAGGGACAGGCCAG